TTTTTTTTTTTTTTGTTTAACTCCTAGAAGGGTGCAGAGGACAATCAAATTTAGTTTCCTTATTGGCAAGTTTTGGCCTAGATCTGTGAAAAATGAGTCATCAATTGGAGTTGCTGATAACGAGTGAGGAGTTTTAGTATTGTTTAATGGGGTTGCCAGACTGTTGGGGTTGCAGCTATGGAGTAGGAAGTCGAAGGGACCCTGGGTTAGAAAACACAGTCAGGAAATACATATTACGGCGTTAACTCCGTGAGGCTGGAGAGTTGCGACAATTTTACCGTTCTGGCGACATTTCCGCCGAGGTAGTTTGCTAGTTTGGAGGTTACCTTGAGAAGTGTGCCATGTGGGACCGAGCCACGAAAGAGGCATGAAACCTAATCACAGAATGGCAGTTCGGGTCTCATTTCCCACATTCCTCCAGGCTTCTTCTTCTTCTTTTTTTTTTTTTTGAATTCTCCTGTTCTATTTTCCCATCACTTGGCTCGAACGTGCCACCCGAGGTTAATTTTAGATTCTTCCATGGCCTTTATATATCTACTCTTATGTCCCCCTGACACACTTAAAAGGAAACGATATTAGAAACATCCCGAGATTAAAATCACCGTTCCATATTTAGACCTTTTAAAATGAGTTCTGGAAATTAGGCAGAATTACGCATCATCCCATCCATTCTCTTCCATGAATGAGGTTCAAACCGCATTGTAGTAGGGAGTTACTAATGCTTGGGGAGAGGGAAGGAAGGAAGGGGTATGAATAACTTCCCACTTTACAGTACCTGACAACACATTTCATCAGCATTCTTGGGTCGTGTAAAAGAACCCGGAGAATGACGTTAAGGGTCTTTTCCTACTGTCTAAATCCTTGGGGTCCTGGCAGGGCAAGTTAAAGGCACCCTCAAAGTGTAGATTCCACATGTAACAACTCAAATTCTTGGCACTTGCCCTTTTAAGTATTAAGTTAATATTTGGTGTTCCAACTGTTAGGCTATTTTCATTTTTTTCCCCCTTTGAAACAATAGTATTTGGTTACAGGCACCGGGGAAAGGATTTGTCCCTTTCACTCAGAAGACTCCTGCGTTTAGACTTAACGCCCTAGGAGAAGTTGTCTTCTGCCCAGAAAAACCGCACCCACCTACAATTCACACTTGAGCTTTTTCTGACCCTATAAAGTTTCTACTTCCGTTACCAAACATCTTTTGTTTTTCATGAAAATACGTTTCCGTTTGTAATTTAAAAATACATTATCTGGAAAAAGAAGTGCTCTTGAATCAGATAATTTTTAATAAAGTTGATCATAGGGTTTTAATTTCATCTTATCTTTAAATTTCCTTCTTTATAACTTTTTCATTCATCCGTCCTGTTTTCAAACCTTATAATAATGGATCAGTTGAAAAACAGCTTGCAGCTTGTGTCAAATAATAAGAAAGAACCGAGTATTTCTGTCCCTAGGAAGATTTCAGCTTATGTGACCCATCTCTGCCAATTTAAGGATGTATTCTTCAAGAAAAATTCAATCCGAAGAGTAGACAGAACACTACCAATAGATCTGTGCTTTTCCATCTAAAGAGTTTTAAGGCAAAAAGCAGATTCATGTAGAGATCAAGGGTAATATACCCACCTCACGGGGCTATAGGGAGGAGTAAATGAGATAATACCTCACACATTGGCACACAGCTAGAGGGCTACATAAATGTACCCAGAAACAAATAATGTAAACCCCCATCAATGTCATTTTCTCATTCGATTTTAATAGAAACTTGGGAGAGGTGAGTTCTGGAGCAGACTTGCCTATGGCTAAGGTGTTGGTTTGGGGAGGGCTCATTCAAGCAAAATAAGAGAGACTCAGATGCATTTGTATCTCTGTGGCTCATCGTGTGACCTGTATTCCTTTCATTGCTAGGTATCTCGATTTTATTCTCTGATTACACAAGGGTTCTGAGCTATCCATCTGTTCATTGGAATTATCGCCAGATTGCCTGCCCAAGTCTTAACTATGGCAGATGTGCACGTCTGAATTGACTTTCCCTTGCTCATTTGCTTTGAGTTCAGTGAAATCAAAGTAATTTTAATAGAAACGCAGATAGAACTTTCAGATTCAGGTAATCACTGTCCCTAATATCAGCATTCTCGGTACAGACAGAAATGAGTTCCTCACTTATTTATTGAGCAACAAATCAAAGAACGTAGATAGGATTGTGCCGAGGCCCGCGAGGATAAACACTTGAGAGCTAACGTCATAAGAAAAGCAGTGCTTGAGCCGGGGGGGATGGGGGGGTGGGAAGGACCTTCATTGGTGTCCCTTGGGTCTGAACTGGCTGTGTCTGGGCCCAAGTTTCCAGAGACCAAATAAAGAAGTCATAGTCTTACTTGACAGTCTGCATTGTCCCAGCGGCCACAAGCTAACACTTCTTTTCACGTTGCTGCCTGCAAGCTTCTCTTCGAAGTATTTCCGTGTTCTTCCATGGCTTTTAAGTGGGGGGTGCGATAATTCAAAAGAAATATTCTGGAGAGCTCTTTCCTCTTACTTGCCACCTCTTATATCGATTAATAATTAACATAGAGAAAAAAAATAATTAACATAGAGAAAAAGACCCCTGAGCTCCTTCAGGGTCTTCTCTACTGGTTATTTGCCTGCATGGGAGTATTTTCTCTGCAGAAGAGAGAATAATACATATTTGGCCATCAAGTAGGGAATTTCGTCTCTATCACCTTAAAGTAGGCCTTCAAGGACTCTTCAAGATTAAGGATAGGGATTGTGTCACGTTCATCTCTGTTTCCCCTACAACATCTGCTCAGTGCCTTGATGAACACCCAATCAGCGAGGGCGAAGTTGAATGAGAATTGCCACAAATTGCAGATGTTTTCGTTGCCAATAATGTCAACGACATACAGGATATATGAGCAGATGTAATTAAACAGATCCAACAAACAGAAGAGGAAACAACATGTAATATACACTCTACCATAGTGAAAATTACAGAAAATTTGCTGCCCAAAACAAACAAAAAAACTAGGAGTGTAGTTTTCAGTCGTCTTGATCTGTAGATAAAAGACAGAAACGTGTCCATTTATTGGCTGGGATAGGAGAACATAAGTGAAGTGACGAGCCCATTACTTAGCAACTCAGAAAAATGTTAGGACCCTTTGTAGAGTTTGTGTTCATCGTCTTAGCATGCCCACTGTCACATTTTAGTCTATATGTTACTTTAGCCTGTGAGTCACTGGGTCTAAATAACACTTCGGCGAGGACACCCCTCTCATCCGGAGGCATCACTACAGGCAGCCGCTGTAATTTCAAAGCCTCTGACCAGTGATTTGTGTTCTAGGGCAAGAGCTGCAACAATCTAGAAATAATGGGATAAATTCTTTTTTTTTTTTTTTTGTCCTTTTAAATATAAAAAGCTTAACTAGCATTTTTCATTTTTTTTTTTAATGTATAAGTATGTATTTTTTGCCAGGCTGGGTTAAATTTTAAAACCAACCATCTGTTGCGTATTACTAATTTTTATCTTTATTCTTTTTTAATCGATCTTTAAAAAGACAGCAAAGCGGGTCTTGAAGCTGTGTGAATGTGTGTCGCACTACTCTTTGAGACATCACAGCTTAGATCGTGCCTTCACACTCACCCCGGTGTCTCTTTCAGGGCTCATTAGTCAAATAGCACTAAAATCTAGTGAAACGATACTGTTGTATTCACAACTTTGGTCTTCATTTCCTAGACTGGGAATTGGCAGGCGAAGAAGTTGAGTAATCTGTGCGCGCGCGCACACACACACACACACACACACACACACACACACACACACTGACAACCTCAGTGAACTTTCCAGCCTCTTCCTCAGCACCTTCGGGGCTATGAGGCTACATTCTTTGAGTGCCTACAAGAAAGGGTTCAGCCAGCCTTTCTCCACTGTCCCTGCCCACTGGACATGCCCATTACAGAAGCAAACAGCAAAGAGACCTCCTGTTACCAAACGCATCCATGATCTCAGGTCATCCGAACAAAAGGGAAGGCCTTGGCCTCACCTGTTCCTCTCATTGACGTGGAAGTGACCACCTCACAGAGTAGGACGTGCCGTCCCGCATCTCGGCTTTAGGTCTATAATTGTTACGCCAGCAGCACGAGATAAATAAGCCTGAAACCCTCATACGAGTCGGATGTCATAGCCCCCGGTCTCCTGAGGACCTGCTTTCCTGTTATTTTTCCATTCTTGCTGGGGCTCGGCGGAGAGGGAGCCTTCTGGTAAACCACCGTGCGTGCAATAGTACCCTTGCTGAATGAATGGAATAGCTGAATCATTTCAGCCCTCAGAAGAATCTTCGGGATGTTCAAATGGTTCTTTGCTCTCGCTAAAGTTTCCTTTTCTTTCACAGACGGCTAGTACCTTGGTTGTGGCGGACGCTAGGATTTCTGGAATCTACAGTTGCGTGGCTTCTAATAAAGTAGGGACTGTGGAAAGAAACATAAACTTTTATATCACAGGTAAGCGATATACCCTATACTCACAAAGATAGCCTGGTGACCTTGATGTCCTTACAATTTGCTTCTTGGTGCACTTAGAGCTGGAAGGATTTTTGTTTTTAAAAAATTCCATAGAATTGTTAAACGTTGAGTAACTTCATGCTTGCTCTCAGGAATAGAATTTGGCGTCACTGGATCTAACAAGTTATTTCTCCAAGTTCCCTTGTAGAGCTGTCTGTGTGCATCTTCCTCCCCAGATTGGGTCGTGAGGTTAGGATCTTGTCGTACTCGTTTTTAAACTCTTTTCCGCACCTGGCACGGGGTCTGGTACATAGCAGTTGTTTGGTAATAATCAAGGAAATCAAACCTTTGATGACGTGTTTTTTTTTTTTTTTTTAATTAAAAAGCTAATTGTCTCACAACGTAAGTCATTTCTGCTTTTGAGGAATGAGGCTCTCCTATAGAACTGAAACTGAGTTTGTTGACGGTAACTCATGTGCTGTTTTTTGGTAGCATTTACTGATTTTCAGCCTTAAATATGATGGTCTCTGCAAATCTTAAAATGTCCAAGGGACACAAATGGCACTCCCTATGTCCCTCCATGGGTACAGGAAGGAAGTAAGTAGCTCAAAGTATAAAAACAATTGCCTGGCTCCACACTCCCCCAATTTTCTGAGGAAACCCGGGCAGTTTGCCAGCTTTCTGGAAACTTCGCGCTGCATGGGGCAGGCTGCAGCAGTTGCCTAGAGTTCTCTAGAAAGAAATAGGTAGGTCTGATTGCATGAGACATATGGGATGTCAGATCACAGGGAGCCTTCCGGCAAGTTAGCCAATCCTCAGAGAAGCTGTGTCGTGGGAGATCTCCTGAGGTAGATTCTCACAGAATGTGAGAGCCGGAAGAGACTTGAGAGGCTATTCAGCCTGATAGCCCCCACACTTTCCAGGTGAGGAAATGGGGTTTGGAGAGGTGAAGAGGGACACAGCAGAGCCACTCCTAGACCGGGTCAGCCCCTGTCCCCTTACAGCTGAGAAGTATAAGGGAAATCGTGTTTGTATCTACTCCAAGTTGGAAAATTCCTTTATTTAGAGAAGGATTCAGATAGCCATTGCACACAATATTGGTTCTCTTATCAGTGTGGGATGATTTGGACCACTTAGGAACAAAGGTTTGTACTGTCCTTTATGTTTGATTGGAAACAAATTCCTATGCAAATCCTAAGTCACCGTACGTGTGATTTAAAGTATAAAAGATTGAGCAATCCTGTGCTGAACGTTCAACAAGTTTATACAAGTTTAGTGGGCACTCCCCATTGAATAGAACAGTTCAGCGCTGCCCTGAGCACTTGAACGGCTCTCCGTGAAGCCCCGTCTTTATAGGAAGACAGTTTTAACACAAAAAAGAAATGTCACATCCTCATATCAAGAGGCATGTGTAGCAGCAAGGTGGCAGGTGCATTTACCGACGCTAAGCCAATGCTGTCCGATAGAAATACAAGCCACACACGTAATTTAGAATTTTCCGGTAAAACTACATTTTTGAAGAATAAAAAGTAAGATGAATTTTATGTAAGCCAGTGTATCCGAAATATCATCATTTTGACAAGTGATCAATATTTTTAAAACCTTGTTCGGCTTCAGTGTTTAAAATTTAAAGTAATTGAGATAAAACGGAATACAATTCAGTTCTTGGCCGTCACACTCGCCCCATTTGAAGGGCTCGGTAGCCACACGTGGCCAGTGGGTACCGTGTGGTCCGGTGGTGCTCTGAGCCTCTGAGAAGGAAGGGCTGAGGTGGTCCGGGGGAAGGAGGGCATGAAATCTGAACAGGTAGAAAGAAGAGGCTAGCCTTGCCCTGACGTTCTCAGAGCCCAGACCGGATACCATGCTATGGTTCGGCTTCTCATGGGCAGATAGACCTCTCCACGATGGCCCGAAATGTGAGACGCGGATGCCGAATTCGGGGACTACTCACAGGTCCACAGAGGGATGTGACAGTGCCTGAAGGTGCAGAAGGAACTGACCCCCCTCTTCTCTTTCTATTCCTGGCTGTGCCCCACTAGTGCACCCACGTGTATGGTCAGCCAAGTACTGTCCGCACCCCTAACAGTCTTCCCTGGGACCTACAAGTGTGCACACTCATGAGCAGTCTGACCTCAGGAGGACTTTTTCAGTCTGGAAGCAGACTTGAGGCCATCTTTACAGGGAATTCTGGGATCCCCAGGACCCCCCCCCAAAAAAAAAGACATGGAATGGGGGGTGGCACAGGCTAGGGGTGGCATGCTTTCCTGACCCCACAGACTCTTTATATTGGGGCGGGGGTGGGGGGAAGGACAGCCAGCATAGAGCCAAGTAAAGGCCCAGGGCAGGGACCCCTCTTGCCTGGAGCTGAAGGCAATACCGGAAGAGGAGTTACCAAGAGTGGAGGGGAATGTTGTGTTCGTTTCCTTGTTGTTCGGAGTCCCCCGAAATGATGAATTTGATGACCAGCCTCAACTGCAGCACCAATATCTAGCCCATCCTACTGAACTTTGCATCGTTGTGTGTCTGTCTGTGGTCAGCATGTCTGTTGAATGCAGACAGAGATTCCCTCCTATTCCTTCCACATTATACAGGTTTTAACCATGGGATGGCTGAAATCCTTTCTAGAGCTCTAGGCTTGTCCTCAGAAAGGGGCGATGAGAATTCAAGTCAAACATACGTACTTGAGGCTTACGGTTGTTTTCCTCTAGAAATTCAAGAGCTTTAATCTTAAACTGAATAGAATCGCTCTGAATTATTTTCTGCTAGTCCTGAAAAGTTCTAGTTTTGGTAATTATAATTTGCTTAGATTCGTTGTTTTTTTAATTATGACTCTTTTCTTTCTTAAATCCTTATCATGAGATTTATTGTCAACTAGAGATAGAGCTAAGTACTCAGGAATGTTGCCCCTTCCACGTCTATTTTCTGAAAGATGAATGCATATTTGCTTGGTGTTTATACTTAACCTAGTGCAAACGCTGGTTTAAAAGATCTGTCTAAAATTCACCTGTTCTAAATCAAAAGATCTGGATTTGGATCCTTACTGGTCCTCATTTCAGTCCTGTTGCCCGTTTGTTAAAATATAATAACAATTTAACACAGTTGCCTTCCAAATTAATGAAAACAAGTTGGCCTTGGCCTTTAGAATTCCCCACCCCTTCTGCTCTAAACTTTGCCATTCACTTGCACGTAGTAGCTACTTGAAACAAACAAACAACTTTCTAGCAACCACTCACTTCTTAGGGAATGTTATTTCTGTTCTTCAGCAGAAGGAAAGCCTTCTTTATTAGGACCTGACAAGCTATACCTCTCAACCTGTGCATTTCTATGCTTGTCTGTTTCGTGAGCTTAATTCACATGTTTGATCCAACTGAGTCAAAATGTCCATCCCCTAATACACACCTGTGTAAATAGATTACTCTTGCACCTACCCCTAAATCAGATATCTCTTCCGAGCAAGGATTGATTCTTCTCCATGACATCTCATAAGATGCCATGGATGTGATATGAATTAGTTGGTGCCGACGAGGATTGTGCCGAAATCTGCAACAGATACGCCAGTGTGGGAAGGTCGCCTGCTTTCGCTTCATTAGAAGGCAGTTCTTTCCTGGGTCTGTTTTTGTACTCCATCTAAAAAAACAAATCCACATGAATTGAGAGGAAAAAAATCCCTCTGGATTCCTTAACTAGTGTTAGGACGTTTTACTTATCATCTTCTATGGATCAGAAGAGAATGCCTGAGAGAGAGTCGTTTCTAAGAGGCTGTCTGGTGACATGAACTAAAGTGACTTCACTAACGGTGTGAGAAGCAGACCTCAAAACCCAGCTGGTTCTTTTCTTTGCCTCCGTGTGTGTGTTTTTGCCATTTGTTGGCACTCCGCGGGACTAGGGCTGGGTGTGTTAGCAATTACTGGGGGTGAAGCAGGAACAGCACTGCCTTATCTCCCTGGTTTCCCAGTGTCACTAAATGCATTTTATTTTGAGATTCCTCGTGGTGCTTGGCAAAGATAAACAAAATCTTCCATCAGGAAACCTGTGAGCTATTTCCACAGGAAGTTTCAAATCACTAAAGTAAATAGAAACTCTGCATGATCTCAATGGTGTTACTTGGGCTCGCTTGGGTTCTAACCGCCAGGACGGGACCTCATAAATGGCAAGCCCGGGGTCTTTGAAGAAATGATTCGACTGTGGCCCGTGTGCACACGACGGCTGGTATCTGTGAAGAAGCTGACGGCTGACGTTTTACTCCTCAGGCTTGGAAAATGTCCCAAATGTAAAAAGATGCTGAGTTAGAGGGGCTATTTCTGACACCTTATTGTTATGTTGAAAATGAGTGTTAGCTGCTTCGGCATCTTCTGACCCATTCTTAGCTTTTCATTTTAAAAGCAGGAAAACCTTTGCTGGTCTCCTCTCCAGCCACTGACAGCTTCATAAGCCACTGTTACCCCCTGCTCCCAGGTTTCAAATGAATACTTTGGCATTTCTTCAGACGTGACACTTTATAATAAAGTCAAAGCCCAGAAAAATCAGAAAAACAAGCAAAGTCCGATTTAGGAAAGAGTTGATATGATATCTAATTTTGGACTATTGTCCCCCTAAGGTTTAAAGGTTTCTTTATAGCTTTGTGTGCAACGGATAATAATAATAATAGCAGAACATAATGCTTTTCATCTTCAAAGTACTTTGTAAAATGTTGGCCCAAATTCTTTGCTCAAATACAGACATGCCACCAAGTGACAAGCAATGGGAGGGTTTTGAGAGCAGGTCAGTTTGGGGCCAGTGACCAATGATTTCTTTCTTTTTTTTTTTTTTTTTTTTTTTTTTTTTAAATCCTCCGGGGAAATGCTCCCAAATGAGACCAGGGAGCTTGAGCGCAAAAAGCTGAGTGAAGGTCAAGGTTAAGAAAGCAGAGGAGGCACGCTCCTGAGGTGTTGCTGGGGACAGAGATGGTTAGCTGGGGATTGACAGGAGAGAAATGGCTTTTGATGGCACGGTAGCTCTCAGAAGGTGTTCCCTACGTTTTTGAGAGTAAACTTGATTTTTAGAAATTACTCTCCCCCTCCCCCATCGGAGCATCAGGCAGCTCTTCCAGATGAGTTGACTGCATTTTGTTCTCGTATGTCCAAGTAGGACCGTCCCCCTGAAAGGGTACCTGAGCATGTGCCGTGGCTCTTCTCTGCCCACTGTGCCAGCCAAGGGCAGGCAAGGTAGATAGCACCCCAGCAGGATGGGTACTATCCATCCAATTGTAGGAAACTGGGGAGACCAGTTGGTTTTTTCACTGGAAAAGTCTAGGCTTAAAGTGGTGTTGACCGGCATGGCTCAAGTCTCCTACCACGTACCTGGGACTTCCTCACTTATTTTGGAGAAGTTTGACCATTAAACTACCCTTGGGTTTTTTTTTGTGGTTTTTGTTTTTTGTTTTTTTGTTGTTAAAAAGAAACAGAGGCACGAGGAGAAACCATGAGAGAGAGGAATGCTTTTAAATATTTATGTTTTGGGCGCCTGGGTGGCGCAGTCGGTTGAGCGTCCGACTTCAGCCAGGTCACGATCTCGCGGTCCATGAGTTCGAGCCTCGCGTCAGGCTCTGGGCTGATGGCTCGGAGCCTGGAGCCTGTTTCCGATTCTGTGTCTCCCTCTCTCTCTGCCCCTCCCCCATTCATGCTCTGTCTCTCTCTGTCCCAAAAATAAATAAAAACGTTGGAAAAGAAAATTAAAAAAAAAAATTTATGTTTTGAGAGAGATGGTGCGCAGGGGAGGGGCAGAGAGAGGGAGACAGAAGATGAGAAGCAGGCTCTGTGCAAATAGCGGGACTCGAACTCGTGAACCATGAGACCGTGATCTGAGCTACAGACGGACATTTAGCCTACTGAGCCACCCAAGTTCCCCCCATCCTTGGTTTTTAGTTCAAATGGCTCTTTTACGACTTGCCCATTTCGCCCAGTCACCAGGAGGAGTCCTGTGCAGACTAAAGAAATGGGAAACGTGGTCATCATTCCAAGTTGTAAAACAAATTCCACTCTGTTGCCCCAAACAAGGAAAATGTCCCCCCCCCCTCCCGAATCAGCCTGCTTTGCATTTCCTGCCTTGCTTCTGATGGGCTGCCCTTAGGTGGCTCTTACCTATGTTGGATCAGTTCCCCAGAAAGGAAGAGACACATACTCATCCTTTTAAGGCTGATGCTGAGAGAATTCGTGTAGGAACGGTTGTTAAGATCTGTGACTGTCTCCGGATGAGACGCCTTGAGTTTTCTACGAACTGAAGCTCTTTGTTCTTGTTTTACAGACGTGCCCAACGGATTTCACGTTAACTTGGAAAAAATGCCGACGGAAGGAGAGGACCTGAAACTGTCTTGCACAGTTAACAAGTTCTTATACAGAGACATTACTTGGCTTTTGCTGCGGACAGTTAAAAACCGCACAATGCATCACAGTATCAGCAAGCAAAAAATGGCCATCACTAAAGAATACTCTGTTACTCTCGATCTCACCGTCAAGAATGCTTCCCTGGAAGATTCAGGCACGTATGCCTGCAGAGCCAGGAACATATACACAGGGGAAGAAATCCTCCAGAAGAAAGAAGTTACAATTAGAGGTGAGCACTGCAGCAAAAAGGCTGTTTTCTCTCGGATCTCCAAATTTAAAAGCACAAGGAATGATTGTACCACACAAAATAATGTAAAACATTAAAGGACTCATTAAAAAGTAACAGTTGTCTCATATCATCTTGATTTATTGTCACTGTTGCTAACTTTCCGGCTCAGAGGAGATGCTCCTCCCAAAATGAGTTTGGAGATGATAGTGATGTTGAGCTCCCAAGGTCCCAGCCCGGGGCTCCCCACTCAGGCTGAGGGGCTCTGCTCTCTGGGGCCGACTTGGTGCGCGTTTGGATTTGGAGGATCCCTGCGGCACATTTTCTGTTTTTTTTTTTTTTTTTTTTTTTTTTTTTGTCAGTCTTTGCTGTCTCCTCCTGCCTGATAAACAACAACCTGGGACTGATCCTTTCCTCCCACTCTGATGCCAGCCTCTTTGTATTTTTAAGTGTCGAAGCTACGCAAACTGAATAATTTAAACACGTGCGCTGGTTTCCGCCAAAGATGGACGTGAATAAGTTAATCTTCCAGCTCAGAACGAGTACAGTTGAACTTGAGACTCTGTCGGACCTCCGCCTGGTTTTATTTTGTACTATTTCCTCCGCTCTTGATTTGTAAATGGCACCTGGATAGCAAGTTATAATGCTTATTTATTTGAAAATGCTTTTTATTATTATTATTATTATTTTTACATTATAAGCACATTAATCTTAAACTGGAGTTCTAAAATGGGCCCCAGGAGTGCAAGATGTTGGTGTAGTTCAGAGGTATTAAAGCTTTATCACAGTATGAATTAAGAATGCCCACCGGAGTCCAGCCGGTTCGTAATCCGGGTAACCAGGCCACTGGTCAGCACGGGGCCTCTGAGTGGACCAGCAGCCACTGACCGCCTCTGACAAAAAGTGGATCCTGCCTTCATTTTACGAGTATTTGTCCCCCGGTTATTCTTTTAAAGAACTCCCTTCTCTCTCAGTGATGGCATTCAGAGACAAACCACGATCCGTTTATCAAGGAAATCAAGGCATTCGTGACCGAAGGTTGAATGCATTCTTCTAAATGCGCCTGTCAAACAAAGTCCACTTTCCCTGTATGCAGATGGTGATAGGATTTTTTGGGGGATTAAGAAATGGGAAAATCCCAGGAGCAGACTTCAGGGAGCCGTGTTTAAATCAGGAGAGGTTATAATCTCTTGTAGGCTTGCATTTGAGGGGAAAGTGACTTTTTCACCAATTTAATATGCACTGTTCTGTTGTTTTCATCAATGATCGATCATGATATGTGACTTGCATGGACTATTGGAAAACAACCTCCAGGGACCAAAATAGCCGGGGCTGAGAACACAGTGGCCGGGCAGCTCAATAGAAGGTGACATTATGACAACTTTTCAGGCTTGGGAACTCACCAGACCGTTTCCTCCTTTAGGTAACAGACCCTGTCCCACGGGCTAAACTTGTCTTTCACGTGGGAATTGCTTTTGTCAAGTGTGAAGGAGTAAACAATAGCATTTCCCCAGAATGCCCGTTTCATGGAGCCCCAAATGCTCTGAAAACAATTAGGAACCTGGAAGTTGTCAGCCCAGAGGAAAGAATAATCAATTGTATCTTGAAATTTTACCTATGGCTCTTTTCGCCTGGCGTCTTTGTTCATTATAAGTCAGCGTGTTCCTTCGGGAAACAATGCCTCAGTGCCCCCAGATCGTGGGGACTCGATTCGGACTAAAGCTGAAAACACAAGTAAAACGGCTGAGGGATATCACTTCTGGAAAAGATGGCAAATCAGACGTGCAGAATCGATCATTTCCTTCCCCTTGAAATTGCAGTTGCGAGCTTCGCGGGGAGGGGAAGGGTGTTAGTATTTGCAGGAGATGATCTTAAGAATTCCATCGAGTAATTCATTGTTCACTGTGGAATTCGTCCGTCCAGAGAGTTTCGGAAAGAAAGACCAACTGGGTGGGTTGTGTTTCGTATTAGTCACTCTTTTGGGTGTGGAGGAAGGGGAGGGGGAGAATGGGGGAAAGGGAAAGAAAAAAGAGCCTAATGTGGAGGATGATTGAGTTGGAGTAGAGGACGTGAGGCTGGTTCCTCAGTCCCCATTCCAAGTGGAGAAGAGAAAACGAGATCTTTATGAAACCAGGCAGATCTCTGGGGCCATAGCAGTGAAGAGCCAGTGGGGAGTGATCTTTGGCTATTGATAACCAGCAGAAATACTCTGTTAATTCGGATTTTCTCAGTTGGCAGGGATCAGCTTCCCTTTGCTAAGTTGTGGAAAGCAGCTATCCATTCCATCCAGCCACTGAGGCTTCAGAACAAGGGCTCAGTGTACCTTTCTCACTTAAAATGTCAAAACAGATGATGGGGTATAAAGGGCAAATGGATAAAATGATTCCTTGGTTGACTGGTCATTAAAGAAACCGGTCGAAAATGAGACTGTTCACAGAGGAGGGCATTTTTTTTTTTTTTCAGAAATGGGTACAAAGAAAAATATGTTTGTCTGAACTTTGTATTTAATGGGGGGTCCTGTGCTTATTCTGCAGCCTTTGGCCACCTCTCTCTTGCCTGAAGTTTGTCCAGGGCAGACAGGGCCTTTGGGAACTCTCATGACATTGTTTCCAGTACACCTGTCAGGGAAGCCAAATCCTGTCTGCGTTGGTGATGCTATAGTTTGTAGCTACGGTAATAATTCGGGTGTTGGAGGCCTTGTATCCAGACTTCCTTTTTGATAATAAGGCCTATGGGCGGTGACAGATTGCTGTATCCTATTTAGTGCATGGCTGAAATAGTAAATATGGTAGGGGAAGCTATTAAAGGTGTAACTCAGTGAGGTGTGTCTGAGTTTTAAACGAGATCTGTCAAATTTGGCTTGCTACCTGAACTAGACTAAATAGTAATATGACCCCGTTCTTCGTTATCCTGTCTTGCTTCACCAATCTGTTTAGAGTCTTTGCTGTGTAAAAAAAAAAAAAAAAAAAAAAATGTCGAAACTGTAACAATCAAGCACGTACAAGTGATCAGACTTGAAGATGTTGCTATCTGACTGCATTTTCTTTTGGGAAACACCGCGTGACAGGTGGCCCAGAATGCCAACACAGAAGTGTTGAAATGGTTCTGCCTGGGGGGCGGGTGCAGGAGAGATTAGGAAAGATACACCCACAGAAGGGGAAAGGGCCATGGCAATCATTCATTCCACTCTACGCTTGAAGAGTTTCTATGTCGGGGCTCTCCTCTCAACCCTCTTTTTAGCCTTCAGATCCCATGTTGTGTAAAGTGAGGAAAGACCAGCGAGAAGCGTGGAAATCAAAATTTAATGAGAACGCTGTTCCTCCCGCCAGATTAGTAACCCTGCCGGGTCAACGTGCTGTTCGAGTTACGTGATAATCTGCTTTTTCACCTGAGATTTCTAAATTGCTTCACCGAATGCTCATCCTGAGAGTTTCCCTGCAGGAGCAAAAAGAGAAAGGTTGTGGGACCGGGCAGAACCCTGCAGGGACGGGGGAATCAGGGCCACTGCAGTGTGTCACTTCTTAGAGCACTGTGATTACTCCCTGGCTGCTTTCACAGTGTTAGTACAATAAGATGAGGAAATGCAAAAGGGTCAGAGAAAGCTCCCTCTGTCTGATTGAAGACAGTGGCGCAGAATGCGTAAGTCACGCCAAAACTCTTGATTTCTGTTCCAGGAGTTGCAACACGGGCGGGGGGGGG